TTTCTTCTGCTTGATTTATTCAGCTATTGATAATTGTGTATGCTTCACGATGTTCTTGTGCTGTGTTTTTCATCTCCATCAGGTCATTTATGTTCTTCTCTAAACTGGTTATTCTAGTTAGCAGCTCCTGTAACCTTTTATCAAGGTTCTTAGCTTCTTTGCATTGGGTTAGAACATGCTCCTTTAGCTCAGCAGAGTTTGTTATTACCCATCTTCTGAAGCCTACTTCTGTCAATTAACCCATCTCATTCTCTGTCCAGTTCTGTGTCCTTGCTGGAGCGGTGTCACAATCATTTGGAGGAGAAGAGGCATTCTGGCCTTTGGAATTTTCAGCGTTTTTGCACTGTTTCTTCCTCATCTTCCAGGTCATCTTCATGACTGGATTTATCTACCTTTGATCTTTGAGGCTGATAACCTTTGGATGGGGTTTTGTGGGAGGTCATTTTTGTTGATGCTTTTGTTATTGTTGCTTTCTGTTTGTTAGTTTTTCTTCTAACAGTTAGATCCCTCTTCTGCAGGTCTGCTGCAGTTTGATGGGAGTCCACTTCAGACCCTGTCACCAATGGAGGTTGCAGAACATCAAAGATTGCTGTCTGCTCCTTCCTCTGGAAGCTTCAGCTCTCCTGGATGAGGTGTCTGTTGACCACTGTTGGGAGGTCTCTCCCAGTCAAGAGGCACAAGGTCTGGAACCTGATTGAGGAAGCAGTCTGTCCCTTAGCAGAGCTGGTGCACTGTGCTGAGACAGTCGCCCTTGTTAGGGTCAGCTGCTCTCTTCAGAGCCGGCAGACAGGAAAGATTAAATCCGTGGAACCTGCAACTGCAGCCTCCTCTCCCCTTAGGTGCTCTGTCCCAGGGAGTTGAGAGTCCTGTCTGTAAGCCCCTGACTGGAGCTGCTGGATTTCCTGCAGAGATGCCCTGCCCAGTGAGGAGGAACCTAGAGAAGCAGGCTGGGCACAGCCGCTTTGCTGCGTTGTGGTGAATTTTGCTTAGTCCAAACCTCCCAGACTCCTTCGCACTGTCAGAGGAAAACCACCTACTAAAGTCCAGCAGTTTGCTTATTTTGCACAACACTGTGTCTTTCATTCCTGTTGGTGATTAGTTAAATTTTAACAGTTTTATGCTGTTCCATAATATGTACATACTATAGTATATAAATCAATTTTACTGTTTTTTCCACTTTATTTTGCACTCGTGAACAATGCTGCTATGAATATTTTAGACATGTCTTTGATGCATATGCGCAAAAGTCTCTCTGGGGTAAAAATATAGAGGTAAAATTGTCAAGAAGTATGGCACATGCATCTTTAAATTTCCTACAGAGTGCCAAATTGTTCCATGAAATGATTATATAATTTTACCTATATACAAGTAATGTGTAAGAAAACCAAAAAATCTGGCATCATTCTTGATTCTTCTCTTCACTTTGTTTCCTACATCTAATCTGATAACAAATCCTATCAGTTCAGCTTTCAAAATACCTGGATATCCAGAATCCAATCTCTTTTTGCTTACCCTCCTTCTACTCATGCATACTGGTTTAAGCCACAGTCTTTATGTATCTAGAAATTATACACCCTCTCAACCATTACTACCTGGTCTAAGTTCCCATACTTCTCCTGGGTTATGAACAACAGCCTTCTTTCTGATCTCCTTGTTTCTATTTTTACTACCCAAACAAAAGAATATTTTCCATTCTGTAGCAGAGTAATCCTTTTGAAACCTCAGTTCATATCAATCAACTTTTTTCCCTCAAAACTCTACATTTGGTTTCCTGTCTTTCTTGAGCCAAAACCAAAGGTCAGGCACCACATTGCCCACCCATCACATCGCCTACATTATTCCTTCTTGTTCAATTTCTTCCTGCTTCACTGCCCTTCTTATTGTTTCTGGCATGTCAGGCAAGCTCGGTCTCCTACATAATGTGCTAGCCAATCCCTTTGTTTAAAAATTTGTTACCCCCCACCCTCCCAGGCCTCTCCATGGTTCTCTTTCTAACCTCCATTGTGTATTTATTTAAATTATTTCTTCCTCAGTGAAGCTTTTCCTTACTGGCTTATTATAGAGAAAGTATCCCCAATTTCCATAGTAATTTGATTTTCTTAATCTGGTAATGTCTTTAATTTTCTTTATTTCTGAATAGTTTTGCTGGATTTAGAATTCAGCATTAGGGATACCCCTAGTTACTATATAATAGCCCTATAACCCTTATTTCTAGAACACATGGCAGAAACATAATAAATAATAGTTATAGTGATAACAGCAAACTCATATAGCACTTAGTACTCTAGACACTTCTAAGCAAATTATATTAATAAATTCATTTAATTCTCTTAAAACCTATGGTGAAGAGGAAGACTTCCTGCTATAGTGATGTAAAGAAGTCGAGTATTTTCTCTTCTTAAAAAAAGAGTGTAAAACTAGACAGCATTAATAAAAACAACTGTTCAATGACTCTGGAAATCAATCAAAGGGACATAATAATTTGAGAAACATTTATTCTTGAAAAATTCTTGGACATTCAGGTAAAAATTGCAGGAGCCTGTGACCTCCTTGCCTGAAGTTACTCCCATTCCTCCATCTTCCTCTCCAACTCTGACCTGGGAATGGAAGCAAAAGCCAACCTTCCTGCTGGATGTGATAGAATCAACTTGGAATGGGAAAGAAGCAAGTAATTCTGGTTACTTGAACATAAAATGGTGAATCTGCTTAGACTAGATGGGAAAAGTCCCAAGCTTTGCCAGGCTAAGGTTGGGGTGCAAGTTGGGGTAAATGGTAGACCAGCAGGATTTCATAGAAAAATCCTAGAAATTAGAGAGCCATAGAGAGGCCATTTATATAGTCAGTTTTAAAATTGATCTAAAAAAATTCAAGACAAGTTTTTAAAATATGTTTTTAAAATTAAAGAAAATAATTTTGAAGAATTAAAGGAAAATATGCTAACAATGAATGAAAATATAAAATATCAACAGAGAAATAGACATTATAAAAAATAAGCAAATGGAAATAATAAAATTGAAAAAAAGTAGCTGAGATAAAAAGTTAATTCAGTGAAATCAACAGTAGGATTGAGGTGGCAGAGAAAGAAACAGTAAACTTGAAGATAAATCATTAGAAAACAGCCAATCAAAAATGAATGAAAAAGGAAGGAAGGAAGGAAGGAAGGAAAGAAGGAAGGACAATTAAAGAAATTGAGAGAGATCCAGAGCATCCGGGACAATTTCCAGAATCCTAAGTTACGCATAACAGGATCTTCAGAACGAGAGAACAGAGAAAAAGAGGCAGAAGAAAAACATTGAACAAAATGGCAGAAAGCTTCCCAAATTTGATGCAAATTATTAATGTATGCATTTAAGAAGCTCAATGAACACTAAGTAGAATATTGAAAAAAAAACCCTAGATATATCATCATCAAATTGCTGAAAGTCAAAATAAAGTCTAGAAAACAGAAAGAAAAAAATAAGACTCAGTACAGCAACAATACAATTTATTTTTGGTCAACACTGTATCAGAAACTACAGAAGCCAGAGGCAATAGAAGGACACATTGAAAGTGCTAACAGAAAAAAAAAATCATTCAACAATTCTAAATCAAGTAAAATTATTCATAAATAAAAGTAAGATACAGACATTCCCAGATTAAGAAAATCTAATTGTCAGCATAACTGTGTTATAAGAAAATACTTAAGGAAATACTCCAGTATGAAGAGAAATGACACCAAATAGTAGCTCAGACACAGGAAGAAATGAAGAACATCATAATGGCAAATATGTGAGAACATATAAAAGATTGAATATATGAATGTGTGTGTCTGTCATCTGTCAAGTTCTGCAGGAATTAATGTGTTATTTCTGGCTCTCTGATCTATTCCTGAGGCCCATCTTATTATCTCTGCATCACAGTCACACTGACTTTATTACTTCAGTATAAGAGTAAATTCTGATATACAGCAAGTGCTCCTCTTTTCCTCTTTTATTATCCTTCGGGATTGTCTTGACTATTCTTAGCTATTTGCAATACTATATAGATTTTAGGATCAATTTGTTAAATTCTATGAAAAATATATTGGAATTTTCACTGGAAACATGTTATATTTATGGTTGACTTTTGGGATAATTGAAAACTTCAATATTGTGTTCCTCTGACTATAAATGTGATTTAACACTCTATTTTGATGTTATATTATGCATTTTAAGAAAAATAAGTTTATTCCTGAGTATACTAAAGCTGCAAAAAGCATAAGGAAAAAAATTTCTGGTTGAAAAAATAACTACAAAGACCCTGGAGTATTTTAAACTTCCAAGAGGCCATTGTGCAGGGAGTGTAGTGTATGAGGGAGGCAGAGCTGTGGGAATGAGTGTGAGAAGAGGCAGAGGCCAGATCTGGATATAAAAGTTAATTCCTGCACGAAAGATAATAACTGTTTGGATACCGACTCACAAACCTACTAAATGGACTAATTAATTTGAAGCAGCTAATATGTTAGAAATAACTATAGCTACCTTCCCATTCGATTTCTGTGGTGGTTGATTACTAATGATTTCCCCAATTCTTGTCAAAATTCTGAGTCAAAAAAGCAACTTAGTGAAACAGAAAAAAACACACCCAAGTCTCTGACATGAAGTGATAACACCTTTAATGCAACACAAAAGCTACTTGCCAAGTAAAATCCAGGCTGGAAAGCACCTCTACGAAAGCACAGGAGTCTATATTGTAGCACAAAGTTTTGTCACCATTTCATTATCTCATCTTTCAGTATCTAGTTTGCCACCACCCACTGATGCACATATCTGCAGCCCATGTGGCACAAACAAACCAGAACCTCTTTTTATCTAATAAATGAGCCAACTTTCTCATGAATAATCAAAGAGTAGCCAAATTCCAAATGCCATCAAGGGCTTACACACTCTCTAGAAGAAGAAATCTAGAAGAAATAATTCAAACTCTTAGAGGAGAAGTGAAGACAGAGCGAGATGGCAGTAAAGCCTCATAAACAACACTACCTTGTGCAGCTAACTCTTTCCACCTCTCTTTGTTCTGCTGAATGATGTCCACCAGGTTGTTCTTGAAGCTCTTCAGGTCCACTGCTGCAAGGGAGTAGTCTGAGGAATAGGACCCATCGCTCATGGAACCTTTTGCATTTGGTCGTCTTAGTGCATCAGCAATGTGTAACCCCACAATGGTGGTTGAGCTAACAGTAACAACCAAACAAACCAAAGAACACCATCAGGATATGGGGTGAACGAGGAAAACCTGAAAAACTTTACAAAACCGACTAGAAAAGCAGGGTAGTAGATGGTCAGTACAAGTTCTGAGCACGTGGCAGCTGCTCACCTCTTTTCTCTCCCACCCCACACTGGATTCTCCTTAGTACAAACCTTAGTATTTCATATTTTGTGTATTAAACTTCAGTTCTCAAAGGCAGATGCAATATAATATAAAGCCACTAGGTGGCAATACTCCCTAATAATTCTTGTGAGAATTCTCTGCCTAGATGTGAGAAATATAGATAATCATTAAGGAAAAGGTTACTAAACATCACAAAGATGAAAAATGATGCAAAAAAGAAAATATCATACCTGCTTGCCACATAGGAAGAAGTAGTTTCGGCTTTTGAGGCTTCCTCTATAAGAGGAATAACAATTTTCTCTGTTGAGTCTGTCAGAAGAGAAAATGTTGGCTCTACTATGAAATCGATGAAACCTACAAAAGCCAAAATGAAGAGAGAGAGAGAGAGAGAGAGAGAGAGAGAGAGAGAGAGAGAGAAATTCAAGTGTTACAATTTCCTGAATTCTGAAATCAGAAATAATGAAGAGCCTCTCACAATCCTGGGATAGCGAGTATCAACTAAAATACTGGTTCTGCTTACCCTTTGTATTGTTTTAATCTAATAACAATCTTTAGAGATGGTTCAACTGCTCTATAAAATAGTACTTGAAGCCATGGAAGTGACGCAATTTAAGCTTGTTAACTCAAATATATTGACTTTTCTATTTACTATTCAGCCTTAAATAATACACTATTGCTAACAATAAATTTAGATCCAATGATAGTGACTATAGTTTTCTCTCATCAACAGGGATCATTATCCTTTTTGAAAGCACATCATGTACATTTTGGATTTCATTATTTACTAACAAGAAATCATATCTAAGCTCCAAAGAAATTAAGTAATTGAAGGTTTTTCTCAGGTAACAGGACGACAATTGCTTTTTGTTTCTTACTATATCAGTCAGAGCTTTCTGCCAGTGTGTTAATATTTCAAATGGCTGTTTATTGTTCTCTGGATGTAAAGTGTTAGTTCACAGCATGTGGGTGTGTTCTGTCAAATCAGTGAAGAGAAAAGTAACATCTCTGGGAGACAGCATTAATCCCACCACTTTGAGATGTCAGTATTGAATGAAGACTTTTACATTTAAAGTACTCGTCAAGATAGAATATGACACACACAGAAAAGGGCATTGTCCTCTGGAAGCATTTTCCATCCCGTGTTTAGGCAGAGGAGGAGACAACAACCTATTCTAAGGTCTGTGTACATGGCAATATCCCAGATCCCAGGACAGCTGTGGGTGCCTCAAGTCAAGAATTTGTTGTTGGAAACACATCTGAGAGCAATGGACTACCACCCGAATAAAGAAGAATAGCTGGAGGGGGGCTTCTTAAGTGATAATGTCCTGTAAAGTATGCACATTTAAAGATTGTCCATCCAATGCTTGGATAAAAGTAATTCACATTTCAAGTAACTGCATTACTTTTAATGTATAATAAGACACATTTTTAATTTAATAAAACTTCAATAGTTTTAATGGATGCCTTCATGTTAAATCAGTGTTAACTGACCACCCAGGGTACTATTTTAAGTTCTATGTTCTTTTGTGTGTGTGTGTGAGAAGGAGTCTCACTCTGTCGCCCAGGCTGGAGTGCAGTGGCGCGATCTCGGCTCACTGCAACTTCTGCCTCCTGGGTTCAAGTGATTCTCTTGCCTCAGCCTCCCGAGTAGCTGGGATTACAGGTGCCCGCCACCACGCCTGGCTAATTTTTTGTATTTTTTAGTAGAGATGGGGTTTCACCATGTTAGTCAGGATGGTCTCGATTTCCTGACTCGTGATCTGCCCGCCTCGGCCTCCCAAAGTTCTGGGAATACAGGTGTGAGCCACCGCGTCCGGCCAGTTCTGTCTATGTTCTTAAATGCCTGAGATGTGTAGACTGTCAACTGGGGCGTCACCTTTACTAACATGGCTGCAATTTATATTACAGCAACAAGCCTCAGAAACTTCCATTCGTAGCTTGCCACATCAGGTCCTTAGCCTGCCACATTTACACTTACTAAGCAAGAATAGGCACCTGTGTTATGGTCTCTAGAAAAACAGCTGTTGAAACATGGATGGGAAGGGGAAGAGGTCGGAGCACGCAGCTTTCCCACAGCTGACTGCCCCAAAGCTTTGTGATGGGTGGTGCCGCAGCATAACTACACAGGTAAGAAGTGATCCTTGTGTTTATTGATCGTATTGTTCAGTAACAAAAATGCTGGTTCAGCGAATAATTATTACAAGTATTTGAGTCATGCAACACAGCAATAATATGTTTTAATAATGAACTGGACTTGAAGTCCCCAACCCAAATACAGATGATAAGAATGAATGTGGTTGGGGGCATTATCATTTTGCAAATTTCCTGTTGTTGGTTAATCTATTCACGTCCTGAGAGAAAATTTTTCCAAATGAAATGTGCACTACTATATTAAGCATACCATGGAAACTTAGTGATAGAACAAGTGCACTAATATTTTCATTGAGTTGACCTCTGTCTAAAGAATTAAATTACAGAAAACAGTAATCAGCAATAAAATAACATAAAATAGTCTCCCACACAAGACAATGTTATATTTTGTAAAAGGGTTAGAACCATGATAACAATTACATTTACTGTTACTTTATTGAATTCATTTTGTGAAAATGCTTCAATAATTCTTATTCAGCACCATAGAGATCCATTTAAAAATCAAATGTGTCATGAACATGGAGTGAGGTTTTCATGGAAGTTACCCCTTTAAACAACATGGTTTACACATTTCAAAACTGACAAGCACACACTCACTTTCCGCCACCACAAATCATCAGTATTACCTATTTGTGACTGGGCCACCATGGTTGACTTCCGATCACAAAGTGGGGAAAAGGGAAGCCCTAATTCAGCTTCTTTATCTCCCTGGAGAAAGAAAAGCACATTAATATAGACTTGGGTTGGAGAAGCTAAAATAATGAGCAACCTAAGATATAAAGCCTAGAAAATTCATATCTTTCATTTCTTAATTAGGAATACTTTAGTCTTATTTATAAAAACAAAAGCTATAGTCCAAGTTTATGTAATTTTTCTTGGATGGTCTCCTTTTGGGGACATTTTGCAAGGAGAAAAATGATGAATGTTTTCAGGACCTGGAGACCTTGCTTTGGCATTACAATCCCTTGACTTTTAAGAGACAAACGTTTGCTTTTGGAATTTTCCAAAGTCACCATAAAATAGCTAGCCATCTTAGTGTGTTACCTGACATTTATATAACCATCCAAGTTAATTCATTTATGCCAAGTATATCAACAGATCTTAAGTATCAAAATTTTGTGACAGAACTGTTTTTCAAAATTAAAAGTATATGATTTGAAACACCTTTCTATTCATTAACCAAGTTTCATTAAATCTTCCACAACATATAATGAGGAATTTCTTCAACATTCTTACATTCAGTGTGTGTAAACTTATTTTAATATTTTCTCCTCAGAGAAAATTGAAATATCAATTTTTTTATTATTTGATCTCATTTAAAATAGATTAATTGAGCACATATGTTAAAGAATTCCATTTATATTTGGGTTTTACTTCAAGAGAAGTAATTAAATTTTCATCTTCTAAAACAAAGTTTGCTGTTCTGGTCAAACCTTTAATATCACAAGGTTTATTAAACTTTGGTTCTTTCCTTTTGCATTAAAGGAGATGTGCTTATGAAAGAAAGAGGAGAGGATCCTTCCTTGTTCTTGTTCATTGCAATTGCCTGGCCATTTGAAAGAATGTTTTAGATTCTATTTTCTCCTAATTTATTGGCTGTATACCTTCATGAGCAACACCAGCCTTGCATCGTAAGTCCATAACTTAGGATAAAATACCTAAGGACCCACGGTTTCCTTTCACTCTGTTTCCATTAACATCTTTCTATCCTAATCTTTACAATGTCATGTCAACATGTAGCTTTACAATTTTTTGAGAATATCTTCTAGAGCAGTTCCCCTAAACCATGCCTTTGATTATGAGAGTTATAGGCAGAAAGTCTGGAATCAGAATTGTTGGGGAAAATCCAGATATGACCATCAAAGAAATAGGAAAATTAGTTACAAACAGGAACATTTCACTATGTCATAACTCAGAGAAAATATAAGGAATAAGAATTTCTGTGACCTCTGCTAGTAACTCCCCTAATTCCTCTGGATAATAATAACACTAATTCCATGTGAAATTGTTATTTATACTCAGGTTAAAGGACAGACGGAAGGGAATTATTAATGCCACTAGTCTTAGAGTCAGAAGATACAGTCAGCTGAGTCCCTGCTGTTCTAGGGGTTATTGCTGTTACTTCAGACATAGCACAACCTTTGCTGAAATGAATTCTCCTTATCTGTTACCTAATTTTGTGATCTTGATTTACTTGTTTTAGGGATAAAATATAATAGATATAATAGTATCTATCCTGAGGTTATCTAAGACTATTTATATGAAGCATAAAGACAGTGCCTGCCACTTAGTAGTCATTAAGTTTAGCTAATAAGAAACATAACTTAGGTCAGGCGTGGTGGCTCACACCTGTAATCTCAGCACTTTGGGAAGCCAAGGCAGGTGGAACACAAAGTCAAGAGATTGAGACCATCCTGGCCAACATGGTGAAACACTGTCTCTACTAAAAATACAAAAATTACCTGGGTGTGGTGGCCTGTGCTTGTAGTCCCAGCTACTCAGGAGGCTGAGGCAGGAGAATCGCTTGAACCCAGGAAGTGGAGGTTGCAGTAAGCCAAGATCGCACCACTGCACTCCAGCCTGGGTGACAGAGCAAGACTCCAACTCAAAAAAAAAAAAAAAACCAAAAAAAAAAAAACCCCATAATTTATAATAGGAACAATATGAATGCAATATGTACAAATTAAAGGTATTTATGTCTAATATACTATGATGTCTAATAATGTCTAATATATTGAACAGTTTTAAAACACAGGAAATTGAAGTGTGCTTAATTTAGCATGTAATAAAGAGGCATCAGCTTTTTCGCCCTCTTTTTTTCTAGCAAAGAATTGACAAGAAAGGATTTCCACTTTTGAAAGATTGGTTTGTCTGCAGTATGAGACATGACTTGGGGTGAGTTAAGGATGACTCCTTGGTTTCCAGTGTGAATGGAAAGGAGGGAGGGGTCTGTTGGTGCCACTAATGGAAACCAGATCATCTGGGTGGGGGAAAGATTTAATACTATTATGGATTTGGTTTCTGACATGTTGAGGATAAGGTGCAAGAATAATGTCATCAATCATTTATGTTAAAATATTAATACTAATATTACTATTGATGAAATAAAATAGAAATAAAGCTGCTGATAGGCTCTTGGGAACCTGATATTGGAGATGCTTATATAATATATGCAGATACAACTGCATTTTATTCTTGTGTGTATTTGTTAGGTTGGTGCAAAAGTAATTGTGGTTTTTGCAGTTAAAATAGTAGTCTTAGAGTCAGAAGATACAGTCAGCTGTATCTTTGGCAATTAAAATTGCAAAAACCACAATTACTTTTGCACAACCCTAAATATTATAAGACTGTATCTATTAAATGCAGCTAAGCTACATTTAACTTTTGTTTGTTTGTTTGTTTTTTGTTGTTGTTTTTTCTTTAGTTAAGATGCTGCTATCTGGTGTTTTAAGGACACAAATGTAATAGATGTATTTTTATACTCTGTGGTACAAGCTCTTTGGCCCCCAAATGGTAACTTTGGCCTGAGAAAGGCATTATGATAATTTACTTTCTTTTATTTTTATTTTCTTATTTTTTTGAGACAGAGTTTCACTCTTGTTGCCTAGGTTGGAGTGCAATGGCGCAACCTTGGTTCACTGTAACCTCTGCCTCCCAGGTTCAAGCAATTCTCCTACCTTAGCCTCCCGAGTAGCTGGGATTACAGGCGCCTGCCACCATGCTGAGCTAATTTTTTGTATTTTTAGCAGAGATGAGGTTTCACCATGTTGGCCAGGGTAGTCTCGAACTCCTGACCTCAAGTAATCCACCTGCCTCGGCCTGCTAGAGTGCTGGGATTACTGGTGTGAGCCACTGTGCCCGGCCACTTTCTTGAGTTAAATTTTATAGAATGTTGAATGGCAACATTTTTCCTATAGGGCTTAGGACAGTTACATGCAGGGATGACATTCCTATAGATGGAGCAAAGATTTTATATTCTATTTGCTTCCTGTACCCCACAATTAATTTAGAATATTAAATTTTCACTGTCAAATCACATTGAATGCTAAAGTACATCAATTATTTAATTTATTTATAAATATTTCAAAGTGTTATTTACTCTTTAGGGTGAATAAAGGCCAAGAGTGTAAGATTAGTAGGGGGCCCTGTAGGTAAACTATGAAGGAACTAGAACTTTGTATAAAGAGAATGTTAGAATCTCTGAGTATAGATTCGGCCACCTTTATAATTTCCTCATTCTGTCCCAGAATAGGGAATATTTATTTTCCATCAAGGTAAAAGCAGAGGTCATCACAATAAGCATTGTGAAAGAAGAGTTTATATTTTTCTTGGAGGTTTTGCTGTCATTTGAGGACGCTGCCTTCAGGGGGCCAAAATACACTTTTAAAAAGGAGGAGGAAGTAGAAAAAGTGGCCCCATCGAAATGGAAACTCAAGGCAGCCTGAGGTTCTCAGGCCCCACAACTTGTACCTGTCTTTACAATTCCCTGGAGATCCTTCAGGTTTCTTCTCTGAAAGTCTATAACAGAGAACTAGTAATTGTTTTTAAATGCTTTCCTACCGTTGTAAAGTGCTCTGACAGCCATTAATAAGGTATGAAATCCAATGACATAACAGCACCTTTTTGTTGTTGTTGTTGTTGTTTGCATTTCTCTGAAACCAAAAAAATTTCTATAGTTTTGTTTTTTTCTTGAGAGAAGTCTCACTCTGTCACCCAGGCTGAAGTACAGTGGCATGATCTCGGCTCACTGCAACCTCTGCCTCCCAGGTTCAAGCGATTCTCCTGCCTCAGCCTCCCGAGTAGATGGGACTACAGGCACCTGCCACTACCCCTGGCTAATTTTTGTATTTTTAGTAGAGACAGGGTTTCACCATATTGGCCAGGTTGGTCTTGAACTTCTGACCTTGTGATCCATCCGCCTCAGCCTCCCAAAGTGTTGGGATTACAGGCATGAGCCACTGCGCCTGGCTAGTCTTGTTTTGTTTTGTTTTAATGAAGAAGAAAAGACAGGGTAAAGTACAGAAATCTTGAGAAAACTCTTCATTGAAACTTCAGTATTAGAGAAACAAGCAACTTCAATAACAAATATGCAGGAAGCCCCTGACCACAGGGACAGGGGCTTAGGAGACACTTTTCCTAAGGACAGCCTTCGGAGACATTCTACAGCTGAGGGTGAGATTTGAGAGACCTCTTGTTCTATAGAAGAATTTGATTGGGAGAGAAGGATGCACTAATTTAGCCTTATTTGGAAAACTTCAGGAATTTAGGCCCTATACCCTTCTTTACTTCTTCTATAAATGGGCCTTTCTAAATTCGAAGAACATCACGAAAAACATTTAAGCGTTTAATAATTACAGCAACTAATACATTCAATTTCAGTAAAATATTGATCTGATATAACTGTATTTCTGTGAGTGTTATACATATTTTATGGAATATTAGAACCCCTGGTGTAACCGGTGTTTATAGTACTTTTATGGCTTTTGAAACTAAAACCTTTTTTACATTTAAAGTTATCTTGGCTCATAACTACAGTTCTTTTCATTTCTGCAATTTTAGGGGTTATGTTTATGATTTTTTAAAAAAACCAGATTCTTGGCTGAGAATGGACTAACTAAATACATTTGTATTACTATGGAAAATGAAATTTATTTTGAAATAACACTTTATACTACTTCTAGCAACATTTAAAAATAGAGAGACCTGAC